GGGGGCGTAGCACCCGAGAGCTCCTATGCATTTTCGCATACACTCGTCTCTATGAATGCACAACCTACCCCTATGAATGCACATCTGCACACCCTATCTCTATGAACGCATCGCCGGAAATCCTGAAATAAAGCCAGAAATAATGCGAGCTGATGCTACTTCTCTGTTTGAAGTTCGAAAGAAATCCAGAAATAATGCAAGCACCAGGACTTGAACCCTAGCAGCTGATGCTACTTCTCTGTTCGAAAGAAATAAACGTTACCATGTGCTGGTGACCGGTAACTGGAATTTCTTTTCTTTTTCCAGGAAGAATACAGTATTTGTTCGCCTATAGTCGAACTTTCTCAAAACAAAATCTGTTGCCCAACTTTTCTAAAACAAAATCTGTTGTTTCCGATCGCATACTGCATGTTGGCAAGGAACAGCATTGCAGACAAAAAGAAAGCGAGTAAAATTTGGTTTAATCTTCTCAACGCAAGGCATAATGGAGTCAATGTGATAGACAAGATAATTAGGTAAATCTGAACCAAACTAGCAGGTTCCTCGCCTACTAACCACCACGATAACATGGCAAGTATAACATACCCTAAATTCCGACAAACAGAAAGAAGCAAACTAGTAGCGTAGATAAATCCAGCAAAGATGAGACTTTCAGACTCGTTATGTTTTCTCCTCCATCTCACAAAAATTGTACCTAGGAGCTCTCTGCCCTCCCACATTTCGCCTCTCTTGTTTCACAAGCTGCGGTTTTTCACTCGGATGGGGGTGTGCTTCAGAGCGGGCATGGTGGGACTTCGAGCGTCGCGCCAGCTTGGATCTGGCCCCATCCGATGAGGCGCCAGTGCTTCTCGACACGGCGGCTCAGGGCCACCTTCTCGCCTTTGCTAGTGCAGACGGGCGCGGTGAGCTGGAGCTTGGCGAGATCGTTCTTCACGGCCACCACACGGGCGCCGGTAGACATGGATCCAATGTTAAGCATCAGGATCTCGCCCTTGGTGAGCTTGGAGACCTTCCCTGCCTTCTCTGTACCCTTCGTTCTCACACCCAGCAGCCTTCGGAGAAGGAAGAAGTTGATCTGCAGAGAAATGTCCAAGGATGTCATTAACGGCTATCACTTGTTTGGCCAAAATCATTAAGCAAGAAAGATTCGACAAACCTCAAGCTCCACGAATACATCGGGAAGTGACCCGATTTCTCCTAGAACCTGGCCAACCAGCCTGTCGGCACGAGTCAAAGTTGGATCCATGGTGGTTCCCACACCGATAAGCCCTCCTGGCACAGCAAATTGGAGTTCATTCTGCTCTGCGTAGAGCGAGACGATCCTCGAATAGATTGGGGTGCATTTGATGTTGCCACTCTCATCCTTCATGACAATGCCAGGGCGAACTTCAATATTCTGGTTCACCCTGAGGACTCCCTGTAATAAGAATCGACATTCAGTTTATGTTTACAGCCAGAGCTCTCATGATCGAATTCTGTACCAGGACTGAGATCTGCATACATACCCTGAGGATGCTGCCACCTGCTACCCCACCCCTAATTTCATCAACCTCTGAACCAGGCTTGTTGACATCAAAGGAGCGAATAACAATCATGTTGGGAGGTGAAGTGAAGTTCCTTTCTGGAATGGGGATTTTCTTAATAATATATTCACAGATCACATCAATGTTGTACTTCAGCTGTGCAGATATTGGCACCACAGGAGCACCTTCAGCTATAGTGCCCTGCACAGATGGTAGTTAAAAAGATCAAACCATGAAAGGGAATACATGTATTTATAACACGGGCAATAACACACAGTAGTGACCTGGATAAATTTTTGGATTGCTTCATGCTGGTTCATTGCTGCGCTTTCCTGGATAAGATCGATCTTATTCTGCAAAATTATGAGATGCTGGAGACGCATGATTTCAACAGCTGCAAGATGCTCGGATGTCTGGGGTTGTGGGCAGCTTTCATTTGCTGCTATCAAAAGCAAGGCTCCATCCATGATAGCTGCTCCATTAAGCATTGTAGCCATGAGAATGTCATGGCCCTGTTCAACAAGGTAGATATTGTAAATACATAAAACAATTATGTAATATCATATTCAAGTTCAACTAATGAAAAGAATATCTAATGATCGATCAGATAACTCTGATGACTTCCCAATTCATATAATAATTCAGTTGAATAATTGGGAATGCACTTATTAGTGTAAACAGCCATTATCATCTATGGTGATGCAAGGGAAACCTCACGATCATAATTGACAGCAAATAAAACTGTAGGGTGCAAAATGTTACTAATCACTTGGGTACGGCAAGAAATGATCAGTGTAAGCATTCATGTACTAGATCTGTAGAAGGGAACATTCATGACAGCAAAAGGGTAGGGCTTCGTCATACCGGGCAATCAACAAAGGAAACATGTCTCAGGAGCTTCATCCTGGTGTTTTCAAACCCAGGAACATCACAGGCAGGAGTATCTTCTTTTCCGCTTCCATAAGCCCTTTATATAATTGAAATAAAAGTCAAATAATGTAAAAGAGCTTAAAACCTTGTAAATAATCACATTGACTAATTTCTGAAGGTCAAGTTTGAGATTTCAATCATGAGTTTTACATTGTATTCACTAGAAAACAATCATGTGACATACAAGTTTAATAATTTATAGGAGTACAGAACAGTGCCCCCTGAAGTTCTTTGCTCTAAATTGTAAAGAGGCTGATAGTCATAGAAGCTAATCATGTAAAAAAGATAAGAAATTCAGCATACTTGTAACACATTGGTCGTGGACATCTGTCATCCTCGCATTTATATATTTTTGCATTAGCATAGCCCAGCTTGATAGTGATGTTACGTTCAAGCTCATTCTTGAAGCGAACAGTCTACAAATCAAAACAAAGAAATCAGAAAACAAGAATAATAATAAAGAAATTCCAAATGAAAAAGAATGTGCACATCAACATTCATCAGTTACTAATCATTCTAGAAATTATTGTAAAAAACAAAGGCAAAGAAGCATGAACTACAACAGTGCCATTACTCAAGCCAAGAAACTAGAGCACTTATATTTTTAATAGTAATTCCAAGACCAAACTTTTATCAGGTTTAAAGAAATCTGCAGTGCATTCCTAGCAAGTACTAGGTTAGTTTACTCGTTCAAATACCAAAAGGCAATCTAAGCATGGCATATTTGAGTAGTATGGCAAACTCAGAAGAGTTACTGCTCAATGTGATAAGGCTTGGAAAGAAAATATGGCCACCGGAATGAATGATACCTGAACTCCAGATATAGCTTTCACAACAGTAGACTTTCCATGGGCCACGTGACCAATTGTACCTGAGGTGTAACATGAAGATCGTAAATATTATGCCCCCGCATAAAATCAATAATTCAGATATGACACAAATACCACAGAAAAATATAGATAAAAAAGCAAACAAGAGCAAGTGATGGTTCACAAATAAAAATTGGAAACAAAGTAACTTGTTATACTAATGAAAAGTTTGCTCCATCAAAGCCCCCTGGTATTAAGAGTTCCAATGACATTTTCCAAAACTGTGGATTTTGCATAGATATTTATTTAGTCTTAAATAAAAGACCATTCATGTGCATCACTTAAGGTAACATGTGGTCCATCAGATTATCTTAAAATAATCGTATTGCTTCCCCCATGCACTCACAAAAGGATTAAGCGCAACCAAAAAGCAACGTCAGACTTCAGTATGGTGGAAATGCTTAAACAGGTGCATAAAGAGAAAAGATAATGGTTCCAACATGTAACTGTCTATGTATCAGAGGAAAAGATAATGGTTCCAACATGTAATTATCTATGTATCAGAAAAATAAGGGGCATCATGCAAAAGACACTCCAGTCTGAATAATATGTGTAAAATAAGCATCACCAGCAAACATATGACAGTAAATAGGAACCATTCCACAGTGAATTGCACCACACTAAACGCGCAGAGCTCATTAGCTAACGAGGGACAATCCACATAGCTTGTAATGCTGTACGCCTATGAATTCTCCACACTGATTACTACTTGACATTAAACATTGCCAAAAGGATGGTATCAGTACCAATGTTGATGGTCGCTTGGCGCGAGATGACTTCGGGTGACAGCGGGTGGAGCTTGGTGACATCAAGCTTGGTTAGGTCCTGCTCCATCAATCCTCGGCGTGCCATGATTGAAACTGAAAGGAAAAAATTGATAAATAGGGTTATCAGCTTGCCTCTTCTACTCCTGTTCACTTACGCAAAGACCAATTGCAGGGAAATAGAACACGTGCTATCTCCAGCAGTCGGAACTGCAACAGACAGTACACTGATCCAAAAGGTCAACCAGAGTCTAAAATCTGACTCAAAGATGAATTGCTAATCTGATGTCACGATAGCCACTATCTACCACACACCATACAGAAGCACATCAAGCAACCGAACTAGTAGCAGCAGCCAATTCACACTAGCAGGAGCATTGGCTGTACCAACAAAACCATACTAAGCATTGACAGTGCCAGTACCATACAAAATTGTTCCACTGGCAGCCACCAGTCCAAACTAGCAATTCACACTAGAGCGATAACACACGGGAGAGGAGGCAGAGAGATGTGGAGAAGAGTGGAGACGGGACGAGAAGAGAGAGCTGAGGAACTCACCGGCGTCTGGCGCTGAGGGCGGGGCGGAGTCGGGGGACGGCGGCGAGGTGCGTGGAGGGGCCGGGCTCGAGCGGCTAGGGGCGTTGCGGAGGCGGCGGAGACAGCCGGCGGCGAGGGCGCGGGGCGGAGTTGGAGGAGGGAGAAAGCCGGCGGCGCGCTTGGGTGGGGTGGGGGAAAACCTAACAGAGGAGCCGAGTGAGCGTGAGAGGGGAGAGGGGCCAAAGCGAGCGGGGCGAGAGAGGATGATGCGAGTTGGGGGCTCGGTGGCGGATTCGCTGTAATTTTGGGTTCGGATAGGGGCAGAGCCATGAAGCGAATCGTTTTTGTTTGCTCAGCTGACGGGCCGGCTACGCTACCTATTTCTCAAGCGTGTCTCGAAAATTAACAGGGTAAGTTTGTTTTCCCCTACAAAAATTGTTTTCCTTAAAAATGTAGGCTCTGTTTGTTCTTTCCTTTATAATTTTCCTGTGAAGATGAATCAATCAAGAATCGAAAATTGATGCTTGTCTTTGGTGGATGGATCCGGTCTTTGTTCGCCTACGTCTATGTGTCTGCAGGTTGGATCCTTTCGATCTAGCCTTCTTTTCAACGGCAGTGGTTGCTGTTCTGGTCTTAACACGACGACTTTCCGACTGTTTACTACAACAATGTTTGTCTGACTTCAAAGAGGGAGGGGCAATGATGGCGGCGTGCCTTTGGCTCGCTCTAGTGCTTATAGTCGTCGCTAGATGGTCAACGGACATGTATGTAATTCTTACTTCTGGTGTTCTTTATACTAGACAGTTGATGAACATATCGTAAGTTTTCTAAAAAAAAGCAATATCGTGCCACTGTCTATCATGGTGTGTCCAAAAGCATTGACCATGCGCTACGGAGTTTACATGGTAACAAAGGTTTTGTGGTTAATACACATGGACTAATAGAAAATATGCTGACCGTTCCTATTATTTATCCCGTATAAAAACCTCAGCAAGGACGAGGAAAACTTTTGAATCGTCTATTTTTTTCACAAAAAAGCAAAGCTTGCATATCTTTTCATTGATAGAAGAGTAGAACAAGTTACAAGGTCTCAAAGAAATGAAGTGGAGAGAGAGGAGGCTAGGAATAAGTACGACATGCAGACTACTCCCTGACGATGTTGGCCAAGCCAAAAGCACTTACTTGTGCCCATAGTCGAGCTTCGTCCTTGATGAACTATAGGAAATGACTCAAGGAGGGTTGTAGACCGTCAAAAACGCACCCATCTTGATGCTTCCGTAGGTTCCATGATGTCAGAAGGAAGAGGGAAGAGAGCCCTTTTCAGCAGAAGGAAGGGGACGTGGCCAAGGCATCGAGCCACCACTCCGAGAAGAGGACGTTGGGTAGGTTGGAGCAATGGTGGAATGGCACCATGCGAGGAACTCGTATCATAGCTAGCGAGAGAAGGAGCATCTAACCAGGAGTTGTTGCATGCTCTCTGGCTCCTGGTCGCAAAGGAGGCAACGCTTGGCATGAGGCAAGCCATGGCGTGTGACCCTTTTCCGTGGTCCAGCACCGGACTTGGGCGGCCAGCCACATGAATATCTTGATGTTCAAAGGCGCCCAAGTTTTCCAAGTTAGCCACCAGTGCAGGTCCGACAACGAGCCAATGAACATAGCGAAGTAGTGAGAAGTGGCGTTGTAGACTTCAGACTCAGTCCAACACCAGACGAGCTTGTATGGGATATCTGAGAGGATGGTGTGACGGTGCATGCGCCAAAAGGCACCAACACCGTGTTGAATATGTTGGGCCCATCGAACGTGAAACCGAGCCAGCACGCCGCCACCGCTTCCAGGCACGCACCTTGTCGCTATTCACAACACTTGCCAAACTCTTAGTTGGAGTGCTGGGAAGCCGATGACCGAAGCTAGGACCCATGGTTTCAATCAGTCGATCACCATAACATGATAAATGATGCACGACAGAATATTTGTAGAAGTGCCACAACACATTAGAAATGTGGATTTAACACATTACTTTTATATGACCAAATGGCGCAAATTGGTAGATTCATACATGGGGAAATTGCTGATAAAAATATCAAAGTACAAATTGTTGGGGAACGTAGTAATTTTAAAAAATTTCCTACGCACACGCAAGATCATGGTGATGCATAGCAAGGAGAGGGGAGAGTGTGATCTACATACCCTTGTAGACCGACAGCGGAAGCGTTAGCACAACGCGGTTGATGTAGTCGTACGTCTTCACGGCCTGACCGATCAAGCACCGAAACTACGGCACCTCCGAGTTCTAGCACACGTTCAGCTCGATGACGATCCCCAGACTCCGATCCAGCAAAGTGTCGGGGGAGAGTTCCGTCAGCACGACGGCGTGGTGACGATTTTGATGTACTACCGTTGCAGGGCTTCGCCTAAGCACCGCTACAATATTATCGAGGACTATGGTGGAAGGGGGCACCGCACACGGTTAAGAATATGATCACGTGGATCAACTTGTGTCTCTAGGGGTGCCCCTTGCCCCCGTATATAAAGGATCAAGGGGGGTGCGGCCGGCCAGGAGGTTGGCGCGCCAGGAGAGTAGGATTCCCCCCCTTTCCTAGTTGGAATAGGATTCGTGAGGGGGAAAGAGGAGAGAGAGAAGGAAGGGGGGGGGGGCGCCGCCCCTCTCTCCTTGTCCTATTCGGACTAGGGGGAGGGGTGCGCGGCCCAGCCCTGGCCACCTCTCCTCTCTTCCACTAAAGCCCACTAAGGCCCATATACCTCCCGGGGGGTTCCGGTAACCTCCCGGTACTCCGGTAAAATCCCGATTTCACCCGGAACACTTCCGATGTCCAAATATAGGCTTCTAATATATCAATCTTTATGTCTCGACCATTTCGAGACTCCTCGTCATGTCCGTGGTCACATCCGGGACTCCGAACAAATTTCGGTACATCAAAATGCATAAACTCATAATATAACTGTCATCGAAACCTTAAGCGTGCGGACCCTACGGGTTCGAGAACAATGTAGACATGACCGAGACACGTCTCCGGTCAATAACCAATAGCGGAACCTGGATGCTCATATTGGCTCCTACATATTCTATGAAGATCTTTTATCGGTCAGACCGCATAACAACATACGTTGTTCCCTTTGTCATCGGTATGTTATTTGCCCGAGATTCGATCGTCGGTATCTCAATACCTAGTTCAATCTCGTTACCGGCAAGTCTCTTTACTCGTTCCGTAATACATCATCTCACAACTAACTCATTAGTTGCAATGCTTGCAAGGCTTATGTGATGTGCATTACCGAGAGGGCCCAGAGATACCATCTCTGACAATCGGAGTGACAAATCCTAATCTCGAAATACGCCAACCCAACATGTACCTTTGGAGACACCTGTAGAGCACCTTTATAATCACCCAGTTACGTTGTGACGTTTGGTAGCACACAAAGTGTTCCTTTGGCAAACGGGAGTTGCATAATCTCATAGTCATAGGAACATGTATAAGTCATGAAGAAAGCAATAACAACATACTAAACGATCGGGTGCTAAGCTAATGGAATGGGTCATGTCAATCAGATCATTCACCTAATGATGTGATCCCGTTAATCAAATAACAACTCTTTGTCCATGGTTAGGAAACATAACCATCTTTGATTAACGAGCTAGTCAAGTAGAGGCATACTAGTGACACTTTGTTTGTCTATGTATTCACACATGTATTATGTTTCCGGTTAATACAATTCTAGTATGAATAATAAACATTTATCATGATATAAGGAAATAAATAATAACTTTATTATTGCCTCTAGGGCATATTTCCTTCACAAATAACAATTTGACATGTGGGTCCCGAGCATCAAGTACACGTGGCTTGCCACGTCGTCATTTTCAAATATCAAAGTAGAGGGTAATTATTGTCAATATTTTCTAAGTAGGGAGTAAAAACTGGAATTCAGTCTATTTTCAAATATGTGAAACGTGGAACTTACTACCTCCGTCCTACAAAATAACAGTGGTTTTTTTGCAACATATACAACTTTGACGATGACGATGCATTGTACTAAACATATTCTTGTACTCCCTACTTTTTGCAGAAAACATGGGGAAATCATTGATTAAGGAATTAATGGACGTGATCTGGTGTAGTACTAATTAATGTCGATATAAATAGGAGAATATTGACATTTAATAAGAAGAGAAATATAAGAGTAAAGGAGTTGATCTTCAAGATCCGGTCGCCCCCTCCCTATATAAACCCCATGCCCGTACACAAGAGCACTGTATTCATAGCTAGAGACACTGGCGGGCATAGGAGAGAAAAGAAGTCTCCTCATGGCGTTCACCATGAACAAGAAAGCGACGCCTATGTGCTTGGTGGCTCTCCTCCTCGTGATGTCCGCCGCTCTCCTCTCGTGCCACGCGGCAGGGAGGGACATAGGTACGTACGTGTGCAGGTGTGCGCGCGCATCGGGCCATTTTCTTTAACCTCATCGTCGACATACCATCTCTATGGTTTATAGGGCTTACCTTAAAATTTTGGTTCTTTCATGTTATAAGTCTCAGTTGTATTTCTCCCATCATATGTTCAAGTTATAAGATGCATTAAATCGCTGTATGCAAGGATTAAGAGAAAACTCACCAATGGTACGAGTTTTGGCCATTCAATGGTCACGCATGCATGTATTACATGCATTGGTAAGCCCACTATTTGTGAGGAAAAATAACGCATTAATTGAGTGCTTTTACAAACTATATAAAAGTTATTTCACCATCTATCTTGATTGGTGAGATTTTTTAATTAAGTCCTATAAACATTATCGGTTTATTTTCCATGCTACTTCCTTCGTCTCATAATTTAAGACGCATGCATGAAACTAGCGCATTAATTGGGTGCTTTTACAAATTATAAATATTTTTTTACCATCTACATTGATTTGTGATATTTTTGAATTGAGCCTTGTAAACGAAAAGAGAGGGCATTATTGGTTCATTTTCCATGTTACTCCCTCCGTGCTCATAATATAAGACGTTATTGTATCTAATATGTGAGTATATTATAATGTAATAATGTCTTATATTATGAGAGAGAGGAAGTACAATATGTGTATGTATATCTACACTGTTATGTTTTGATGAAGGCTGCCAACGAAACGAAGCCAGGTGACCTGACTCGGTCTTGGTTTGTTGTGCGTGTGTGTGTGCAGGCCCAGCAGAGCAATGGGCCAAATACTGCGTCGCCAAGCCGACGTGCAAGACGGCGCCGCAGGCGGCCCTCGACGCGTGCAGGAACGACTGCAACTTCTTCGGCTACCCTGCGAGCAAGGCCTACTGCTCGGCCTTGGAAGGCGGCATCTGTTGCTGCCTCAGGTAGTACGTAAAGAAGCTAGCGACGACGGCGGACACGTGTCGTCATCATGTGCTAGCTAGAAAGCCAACCGTGCATCAGCCAGTCAATTCCTTTTTTTTTGTAACGGAGAAATCAAGAATCCATCGGTCGAGCCTGCATTGTTTACGCAGAAGAAAATAACAAGGTCAAGAGAAAAATTTCAATCAATAAATATAAACGTCGACCTGCGTGTGTGCCAAGTACCAACCGGTAAAACGTGCGCGTTTCTCGCCTGTCGCCGCAGTAAGAAAAGTCGCAACTCATTTAAAAAAAAGAAAAAGAAAAAAAAGTCGAGCCCGTTACCGTAGCGCGCACGGTAACTCGCACCGTGCCGGGCCGGGCCGGGCCGCGCGGAGCCCGAAACGACACGGCCGCGGGGGAGCCGGCTGGGCCCAGGACACTGGCTGGCTTCTCCGCACTTCCTCCGTCCGCCGAGCCAATAAAAGCCGAGGCGCCGCACGGCAGGAGAGGGAGAGAGAGAGACCATCCCACCACCCCGCGGGAAGCAGCCTGGGAAGTAGCTAGGGTAGCTTCGAGGAGTCCGCACGCGCCGCAGCCGCCGCCTCTCCCCAGCGCCGCCACAGCCGCGCCCCATGGCCAAGGGCAAGTTCAAGGGCAAGCCCACCGGGCAGCGCACCTTCTCCTCCAAGGAGGAGCTCGGTACGTACGGCGCCGCCGCAATGCCCGCCCCCTCTACTCTTCCCCGGTTCGATTCGCGAGCTCCGCTGGCGGTTTGTTCGGTCGATGTAAGGCGCTTAGTTCGTTGCGCGATCGGCGGCCGGCGCGCGCGGCGGAGGCGCTCGCTGTCAAGGGCGCGCGGTCCGCTTGTGCTTGTTTTAGTCAGCTTGAAGAGCGTACCGGAGTCGATTGGCGCCGCAAGGTCGCGCCTTTTGGGGTGGGAGGCGCAGATCGGACGGTTTGGTGCCCCGATCGACCATCCGTTCGATGCTTTGGCCACTTATTGGGTTCGTTAGCTTGAGTTTACCCTTTGAAAATATGGGGGAAGGGTTTGCTTGTGTATCCTCCACGAGCCGGCTCCACTAATTAATTGGTGCCGAGGCTTACTAGCTACTGCATTCCGCGTGCGGACGTTCCTCCCGACCATTGTTTCGGTTGTTCGACCCGGTTATGACTGCTTTGTTCACCTGTAGAACTGTGTGTCTGTCTGGCCGGTTGTCTGCTTTGATTGGAAGTAGCACCTTAATTAGTTTAGCACTTGTCGACTGTTCCGTTCAGATTCATTGTGCAATGTGGGTATATTAATTTTGCAATGTTCTCTGTGGGTAAAATGTTCCTATTTATCTGTTTTTGCTCTTGTGACGATTCCTGTAAACTGGAACATTGTATTCTGGGGCATGGTTTTGTCTACTCCAATAGTACGTAGGTGAAAATTGTCAACACTTTGCCAAAGTTTTGAAATTAAGGTGGAAATTTGACGTTATGCTAGCATTGTGTTGCTGCATGATAATTATTTGGACAAGTAGATGTTCCTGGTTTGCTCCAGCTACTTTCCTAAACAAATGAATCGCCATCCGCCGGA